GGCCGCGGCCAGTCAGTCCCGTCAGTCTGCTCAGACTCGTCGTCAGCGAGCTCCAGTGGCGGCGGATTCGATTTTGGCGTGGGGGGGGGCAAGATCCCAGTCGAGATGATGTCATAGGCGGATCCAGAAAGGCGTTTTCGACGCTGTAGGGGACATAAAAAAGTGTCCAAAATCCAAAAACTCCTCGGATTTCGATTACTTACGGATCTACTGCTGAACAGTATATAACAAAAAAAACCTGATAAGTGTTATTATTAGGAAACATAAGGTACGTTTTGTCTATTTCGGGCGATGCAGGGGCCAGGAGGAGGGGGAGTAAATTTTTGCTTTAAATGTTCGCTCCCTGGATCCGCCAGTGGACGATGTAAGGCTTTTCGTGTTGCTGTATTAGCCCGCGCGGGGCTGGGGTCTCCAGCCGAACGCGCGGGGCTGGGGGGGGGGGTAAATTTTACCCCCCTGTTATCTCCCGAACTAATGGTCCGATTTGGAAAATTCAAACGGCAATCGAAAGATGTCATCACGAACAACTAAAAACATGTACTTAATTTTAAGTTTGAGGTCAAGGTCAAGGTCAGGTCAAGGGTACAAATTGCAAGTTCCTACAGTATCGGCCTTGCACCGTAGTTGCCAAAGAATGGAGTCATGGACTGAGACTGATCGCCCAAAACGTGTTCTTAGGCTACCAAGACAATATTCGTTGCATAAAATATCATTCAGAGGTCAAGGTCAAGGTCAGGTCAGGTCAGGTCAGGTCACCAAAAACAAAAGATAGAAAAGGGCATGTGCGACACATGTTTTATGGGTCATTTTACTCATAGATTTCAATAGGCACAATCAATAAGTGATATGGACCACCTCTGGATGAATTACAGGCCGAGGTCAGGTCAAGGTCAGGTCAAGTGAGGTCAAATTTTGAAGTTGGTTGTTAAGGCCTAAAAAGGTGTCTATCTGATGCAGTTTTTCACGGCGAATCAAATGGTGCTATTTTTGTTTCCGTACGAGGTCTAGAACTTCCAAAAAAGTCATTTTTCAAAAATTTTGTGTGTCGTGACGTCATACAATTTTGAATAACTCCCACATTTTTGAACCGATTCTTCTAAAACTTGGTATGTTGGTGCACATAGACCACTTCTCTTACATATATTCCGGTTTTTTCGATACACTCAAAATTTTGGATTTTATAGTTATTTTCTAAAAAAAGTCAGTTTTTTGAAAAAAAAGTTGGGCCAAAATCCAAAATTTTTAAAAAACCGAGATAGCCATTTGATAGACAAAGTAGAATTACGTATATCCTTTTTTGTTACGTCTCGATTCCTTTAAAAATGAAGATGTTAGCGGCGTTTGAACTTTTGCCGTTTTTGAGGCGAAAATGGCGAACATGACGTCACTAAAACGTCAATTTCTCAAAAATTTTCCGACGGATTTCGCTCAAATTTTCAGGGAACGTGTCAAATTGATGTAAGAAAAGGTACTGAAATTTTGGCGGCGCTGCGCGCCGCCGTTTTTGAGATATTGCAAATATTCGCGAGGGGGGGTAAAATTTACCCCCCCCCCAGCCCCGCGCGGGTTAGAAAAAAGCCCCAATGGGAAAAGTTGTGCCATAACCCGACCGCATATTAGATGTTGAAGAACGGTTCCACTTCCAAACCTTTTGAAGTAGGCGAGCGCTATTCTTCAATGAGGTAACTCGTTACCATTTCCTCTGTTCATTTTATGTTCCATTTCTGTTTAATCTTCTTTTAAAAAGCCTATTTCTGAGACAGACATCAACTGAAACTAGCTCACAGCGGGAGGAGACCGCTCAAACATTCAGAGACAGTCGGTCGTATCGCATCTAAACCTATTGGGACAGCGATCCGCCAGAAACCCTCCCCAAGGCAGTAGTTAGCCAACTAAGCTCACCGACACGGGCTGTCTCGATGGGTTTATACAGTTAACCCATAGCAAGGCTTAACTAAGGCCCAAACGCTCGTCAAGCTGGGAACGGAGGGCTGAGGTGAGGGAGCGCGGCGGTGGGCTGGGGTGAAGGAACGGTGGACTGGAACGAGAATCCAGAAGCTCTGGGTGGGGCTTTTCTTTATTAGGGCTTTAGGGTGCGCTGACTGTGGTAAGGTCCAAATTATCACACCAAATTTTGCCACGACATCTACCGGTTCAGGCACTCGAGAATCAGCGGCTGCAGTGATAGGGGAGACTGGAGAGTGGGGTAAGATGCCCAGGGTGGGAAAGACGCCCCACCCCCTCTAGCGGCGAAACAAAGAATCGAACCTGGAAATTAATGTTCTTAGCGTAAAGCGGAAGCCTCCCTTGTTAACTGCACAACAATTTGCGAAGCTCAGTTGGGCAACGACTGGCTGATGATTGCATGTTTTTTATTTGCTGCTTTCAAAAAATATTTTGGTGTCAAAACATTGTAAATATCAAAGAAGGTAGATAATTTTTGCGTCCCTTGCTATAGTCGTGATACATTAGCATGCGTGTACTGTGTCCCAAACAGTTTGTTTCAGGGTGTAGTTTTATGGCTAACAAATTGTACTGATTTAATGTTACTTCGGTACCTTGGGGTAAGATGCCCCCTGTCCTGATGGGGAAAGACGCCCCCCTAAATCCGTAGGCTGTCCTTCAAGCAGCCCGTCAAATAATTTATTACATACTTGTGATGTAGACAAAAGTCGATTTCGGACTATTGAGAGTCCAGTACGGTCGGTTGCTCCCCATGCCGGTCTCTCGGCCCACACAGCGACTTTTTGGGCGGCATCTGACTCTGAGAGCCCTCACGACGGCCTCTGTGGGCCCCATTATTGGCTCCAGGGCCCCTCACGACATCCTTTGAGGGCTCCCACGCTGGCTCCACGGGCCGCGCTGGCATCTGAGGTCCCCACGATGGGCTCGAGGGCCCTCAAGCATCATGAAGACCTATAAGAGCCCCACAGCGGTCTCCGAACGCCACCACGGAGGCTTGTTTGGCCGCGCTGGACTATGATGGCCCTAACGATGACCTCTGAAGCCCCTTACGACTACTTTTGAGGGCCCTTATGATGACGTTTGGTGTCTACTGCAGGCTCGAAGGGACTACTGATTCGTTCAGGCGATCCACGTGGCCATTTATGTCACTTATAGTGCAGGGGGGCATCTTCCCCAACGCCAGGGGGCGTCTTTCCCACCCTGTGGGGTAAGATGCCCCCTTTCACTTCTTCAGGAAAATGCTTAATAGCAAAAAAAGTTATCATATTTCAGGCACAAAAGTGTGATATTTTTGGAGAAAAATGATGTCGGCTTCCGTTGAGACTCCAAGTTTTTGCTTTCCCATCGTCATTTTCGAATAATATATGACATAGCAAAACCCTGGGCATCTTTCTTCACTCTCCCCTTTCTGCAAAGACGAAGCATTTACCCAGCTTCAGCCTGGTGTCAGGGTGCCTCAGGTGGCTTTAATTACAGTTGCACATACCAAACGACCTCAGTGCAGCCAGTCTGTGGCCGAAACCATCGGAACAGACTTCAACAAAAAGTGAGACAAGATTAGTGCTATCGTTAAGTGCCATTATAGACTTGGGCCCCGTTGGCTTGACCCACTGGAAGGTGGTAATTATCGGACGCTGCGGGGCATGCTCATTTTTCCAAAATACCTCAGATTTTGCTTTCGTGTTCATTAGGCGGCGGAACGGGAAGGGCACCGTGCCCCCCTTTGATTTTGGCATTTTAACGTTAGCCCTATGGGCGTTGCATGGAAAGAATGGGACCAAAAGTCGGCAGTGACCCCCCCCCCCTTAATTGAAGGTGTTCCGCCGCTACTGTTCGTGTTTGATGCTCTTTATTCTATAGTAGCCGTTTTCACGACGGAGCTTTCGCAGAGGAACCTATTTGATTCCTGAAAAGTACCTACAGTTCTTTGAGGCCTTAACATCCCTCAAACTGAAATATTTTATGATCAAAATAATTTTAGAAGTTTAAATCCGGGCATTCTTTGCCCTCAAATCACTTATTTATTTACAAACACAGCAATTTTCGGTTCTAGTAGCCCACCTTTCGACTATGAGGTATCAAATCAGCGTGGCAACTTGCTCCCTCTTTGCTCCCTCGGGTATCTAATTCCGGAATTCTTAAAAACAAGGAAAGTATATATCGAGTTCTCTTTTATATCTATTCAGTTATGTTTTAATGGTGATTAAAATATGGCAAATTTTTTAATTACATTTCATATAAGAAAACACGCAAAACAATGAAACAAAAATAACTACGGCAGATAATTACCTTCAGGTTTCTAATTCCGACCAATCAGCACCTCAGTAGGATATGACGTCATACAAGAATGGTGGTGAAGGCCGTTTGCAGTCCCGGCCGGTAGGTCACGTGACCGCCGGGCGCCTCGGGTCACGCGGCGGTCGGGAGTCGGACGCGGGGCGTGGTCGCGGGCGGACGCGCGGGGCATCATGCTTTGCTTTGCTTGCTTTGTCAACTTCATATAACTTACTATCGCATTCGTGTGAAAGCCAAACACTGCTCAGTGCCCTTAGAAATTGAGTTTTGGAAAGCTCAAGTCCCTATAGCTCCTCAGGTCGGCAACAGTTGAAGCCTCATCTGAACCCACACTCAAAACAATTCTACTCTCCGTCGGCGGGTAAAACCCGTTTATTACGGGTACCCCTACTCGCAACCATATTTGACTATGCACCAGAGGGTAATTTTTACACTTCCCTCGCGGATCACCCTATCCTGTTCTGACGGATATACCCCAGCAAGCTGACCCCCCACCGTCGGGTTAACTCTTTACGTGTACCCGCAGAGAAGTGATTACTCTTCGCTCTGTTACCCACGCAGCCAATGTTTACTCTTCCCTGGGTGGTAGAATTTCAACCCGTTGCCGGCGTATAACCCGTTACTGGCGAATAACCTTACTCGCCAATATATTTAAACCACCCCTGCCGAGGGTACTTTTACCCCCTCTTGTCGGATACTTTACCCCCGTGCGCAGTCTGTACTCGGTATACACGCGGTTCTTACCCGGTCAGTACGGATATATTTCCCCGAAATACAACACGAAATATAACACATAACAGAAGCATGCGCTTTCTATTTTTCTATTCACTGCACAGTCACAGTGCACAATCATTGACGCCTTCTCGTACCATTCGTTCCCTTACTTCAGGGATCCAGTTTTTTTTTCTAGTTTTAGCGCTGCAAAAACGTAACCCTCTTAAACACTTAAACAAAGTCCCCTGTCACATATACACCACCATCAAAGCAACGTCCGTGTCTAGGCTCCCATGAAGGGCGAATAAGGGGCAGGCGATGTGGCAGTGGGCCCTGTCACATATACACCGCCATCAAAGCAACGTCCGTGGCTCCCATGAAGGGCGAATAATGGGCAGGCGATGTGGCAGTGGGGCGTGACAGGACCACGCCCTCGTCCAGTTCGACCGCAGTCAATGAAAAACCGGCGAATGAGTCGGAAACCAGGACCTCTCTCTCTCTCGCTCAGTGCTGCAGCTCGCCGGCTGGGAGAAGTTTAGTGAGCACGGCCTGGAGCGCCGTCGGAACATCCTTCTTAACGTCGGAATGTACTACGTATACCGCCAGGAAAGTGGCCGTGTTCTTGATGCCAAGGTAGTAGAGCGGCTGGCAGAACACGGAAAACGATACCGCCCACGTGAGGAGCTGGAGCTCCTCGCTCCCACTGAGGGCGGCGCAGTGCACCCCCTCCACGAAGAGGGCAGCACTACCACCCCGCCGCACGATCACGGGGTATGTATGATGTCCTTCCTCTTCTACAAAAACTGTTTCCAGTTCCTTCAGGGAGGCCACCAGACCTTCGGCGTCGTGGCCTATGCAGAGAACAGAACAATGCGCAATGTTATTCTCATCTATGCCAACACCTAGGCACAGATCACAGCATCAACTCTTACTCGTATGTTACATCGCTACTCAATCACGGGAACAGCTGTCATGTATTGTTTGCACTAAGTATAACTCACTAGATTTTGCACTGAACCAACCAAACACTATAGATGTCTCCTTTCCTGACCATGAAGTAACCGCAAAATCTGAGTCATTTCAATGTACCGAGTCTCACGAAGAGGGTATTTTTCGCCCCAGCACTTGTTTCGATACCGCAGTGAAAACTGATTGGATTGGAGGAAACTGAAGTCATTGGGGGAAGGGAAATGGAAAGCAATTCATTATTTAACCCGCGTCCCGTTGGGGGAGGGGCATTTTGCCCCCCGGTGTTTTTTCGCAAATAGCAAGAAAGCGGCAGCGCGAAGCTCCGCCAAATTTTGGGTACCTTTCCGGACATCAATTTGACACCTTCATCAAAATTTCAGGTCATAGATCACCTTAGGTCAAGAGTTATTGAGGTCAAACTGAGGTCATGTCAAAAATAGTGTCATCTTTACACGCTCACCAAAGTCAGAGTTATTAATCAATCTTTAAGTTATTTGCATGATTTTGTAAAGAAAAGACGGGCCTACAAAACTGCCATCTCGGATTTTCAAAATTTTAGTTTTCTAAAAAAAATATTTCAAAAAATGATGTTTTTTTAAAATAATGAATATTTTTTATATTTCAAAATTTTCAAAAAAAAAACGGAACATATGTGTTAGAACCCTATCTAGTGCATGTACACTGAAAATTTCAGGCCGATATCACTTTTGGTTACGAACTTATAGCTCTTAGGTGTTGACCGCCTGGTTGATCAATAGTGCAGACCCATCCAAACTTCAAATTTGGCATTTAAATGACTTCTTAGAGTATCCATGGTACAAATAAGAGTGTTAAAGAGTGTTTTAGTGACTTACGCTTGGAAAAATAACCTAAAAACATGTATCGCACAACTATGCGTAGTCATGTTACACATTTGACCTTGCGTGACCTTGAACTCATTAGACCTTGACTTCTCCTACTGAGTTTTCGCTTCCAAGTCTCAGATACACTTTCTAGACCATTACAGGTGGATTCCTGTCTGAAAGTTGACCTAAAAACATGTGTCGCATGACCATGTTTTTCATGTTTGAAAGTTGACCTTGTGTGACCTGACCTTGACCTGACCTTTGATGTGCACCACCCCTTAGGCCCTTCAGTGAGGTCGTGTGTCTGTCTAAGGGCTTCCCTGATAAAAAGAAGCATCTGGAAAGCTTCATTTCAGCAGGCGTCATAGTAAAACATAGCAAAAATGCGATATTTCACGTTTCACCTCGGTTTGACCTGACCCGTGACCTCGATTTAAAATTTATATGCTTTTGAGAGTTCACCACCAGGTCTACCCAACGCCGTTTGTCGCTTGTCGCTACGTCGCGTGGTTCTCGAGATATCTTCGGGGGCCAAAATGCCCTCCCCCTCCCCCAACGGGGGAGGGTCGCCAGATCCCAACGGGGCGCGGGTTAACCTGGCAGTTACTAGGGTTGTTGTTGCGACGGGAGGGGGCGTTAAACGCCCACGGCCGATAACAGACTCCCGAAGCAATAGGTGCAAGGGGGGAGGCAGGCGGCAAAGGAAAGCTATCAACGAGACGAGTTTATAGCACAATAACAATTTTCTTGAAAGGTCTTAGGTCATGTCAAAGAGCATGATGCGAGATGAACACTGGCGTCTCCTTAGCCGTAGAAACCAGTCTATCGGCAGCACCAATGTAACCCAAACTAGCATAATACATTGACAAATGACAGGGAAAGGTGTGATAGGCACAATCAAATGCCAAGCTCAGGTCAAAACGGGTCATGTTAAGTGTGTAAAGGCCTGCGTCACATGCTATCCTACAATTTTGTAGAATTCGATGACGAATCGATGACATCTATTTAGGAAATTTTCCTCAAGATCAGACGAAAAAAAGTTAAAAAGCGTTAACGAGTTAAAAAGGTCAAACTTGAAAGAGTTAACTTTTGATTAAAAACAACTCCTTTGATGCAGCTTGGTGTCTTAATTTCCATCTTTTAACCCTTTGTGAAAGGGGAAGCTATGAATTAATGCGACCTGTCGAATTGGACGTGAGGCGAGGAAAAAAGATGCATGCAAATTACAAATCTATCGGGCAAATTGTTCCCCGACTGTTACTGTCCCTTACCGGGTACGTTGCGAAGAACTTTTTTGAGCTCCCGTAGTGCATCAGCCTGGACGGCCTTGCCGCCCCGAGCGTCCGACTTCAGTCGCGCATACTCTTCCCATATCTGCGGAACAGTGATGAACAATGGTGATAATTATTTTAATTACTAACAGAATATGATGTTGATTGGGGTGAGGAGCACTGACAGAAAGGTTACATAAACAAAACTACCGAAAACATTCCACGCGATTTGAGAATGGACGGATAACGAATATAAAACAGGACAGGACAGAACGAGACTGACGAACAGAGAGGAACTATATAACAATGACTAGGACAAGCTTCACAGACATAGCCAATACATTACTGGAAATTAAACACCAGGCCAACTAAACCCTATTACTGGTGGGCTTTCTGAACCTGGAGTTCGTTTACTGGTGTGTGTGTGTGGGGGGGGGGGGGGCGATTCGGCCCCCTTAAGGTCTCTGACTAACCGGCCGATTTCGATGGGACAAACGCCATTCAATTGCCCTCATCGTGAATTATTTGATGTGCTATAAAACAATTTAAAAGTCAAAAATTTGGGTTTACAGTGGCTTTCTCCCCTAATATTTCACGATTTTCACGTTGTCACTAAAAACTCTATGATGTTGTTTTTTATCCAATTAAGATAATGTTTTAGGAGCAGCTACTTGATGAATAGGGCTATGATATATACTCCGGTTTTTATAATATTCGAAAATCAGAAGCGGTCCCAGTATATCGAAATCGTCAAGACGGCCGAAAAGTGTCCAGGAGAAATTGGCCCTGGGGACGACAATGGGCTATACGAAGGGCAAAAAAATTGGCACACGGTGCTCAATAAAAAGTCATCAAATTTCAGGAAGCTGGCTCCAGACGTTTTCTGTCAGATTTGAAAAACTACCGGCGGGGGCCGATCCCCCCCCCCCCAGTAATAGGGTTAATGTGTATGTGCACGATTGTGCAGAAAATGGCATGCTAAAAAGGGCAAGCAGGTGCGAACAAAAACGTGACTTATGCCCATTTATGCTCAATCGTGAGGTTTCGTCGACAGAAATTCACAATGCTCTGCATTGTCTTGCAATTATTAGGTAAGATACAATATGTTCAAAGTGTCTTTCACACTTTGAACTCCCCGCTGGATAGGATGATGTTATCAAAATGCCATTTTCAGAAATTTTCAGGGCCAATCTCATTCAAACATTCAGGGGTAACGTCGAACTGGTGCAGAAGGAGGTTCTGTAAGTCACATGTCAATATCCGCTTATGAGCAATCGAGATGATTGAAGGGCCAGATTCACCCCCCCCCCCCCCCCGCTAGCCGAGCGTGGGCAGTCAGCCATTCGAATTACACATACCTCATTTTCGTTAAAAAGCAGTGGATACTTGGCTTTCACTCCTGCGATGCTTTTTCTTGCGCGTTTGACACCGGCCAGCATCCGACGCCGGTCTGGGAGAGTTATCTTCATCGCTTCCTGCACCTGCGGAGAATCACGCCTTGTCGATAACTTGCCTTACTACTGAATACATTTTAATTTCACTTGAACAAGGAAACACCGCTTTTTATTCTCTTGAGCGTTTTAAAAAGCAGTACTTAGCGCTATTTTACTTTCATCCATATATTGCATAGATATTTTACATTATTGGAGGCCGCAAGACAAGGCACTTGACATGGACACACAAACAGTTGCCAGCCATTATCGTTGTTGCGACGATCAATCACAGACAAAAACGCAGGCACAAAGACGTGACCACAATTATGTATATGTATCAATATCAGCTACAGAAATGACCTATCGAGCATTTAAATACTGAAAAGAAGATTCAAATACGTTTCACGAGTCCAAAGCACATATATGAAATTCGAGTGCAGTGGCCAGGGTCTGCTATTCGTACTTTATACATAATTATGCACAGTGAACAGCCCAGGTAACAATTTTACGTTGTTACAAGGTACTAAGAGGGTTGAAAAAGGGTTGTCACAACGTGCCAATTTTACGTTGTCACAACGTAAAAATGCAGACGCCAGAAAACGTCATTTGAACGTAAGCCGAGTATGCAATTGAATGCCGTCGCAACGTTTCGACAACATCGTATTTACGTCGAGTGAACACTTAAATGGCGTTTGTGCAACGCTTTTATAACTAGCGTATAACCTCTCGACGACCTCATTACGAGCGAGCGCGAAGCGCGAGCGAGTTCTTCGAGGAATACTGGAAAAATCTGAGTATGAGCGGCCCGACACGGCACGGCCCCATTACGCTTTTGACGAACTTATATCTCTGCAGCCGCAGGCCCGATTCACGCGCGGTCTTCCTTGGTGGGTAGCTTCATCCCTTCTGCCTTGAATGAGACTAACCCCGGACCATATACGAGTATGCGTGATGAATGTAGCACGTGGCACGTGCAGAATGAAGGATGTTATGAACATGTTTTGTGTTATATCTCCAAAATGGCTTGGCCGTTTGTGCTCAATTTTGATGTGTGGCTAGACATCACGTGCAATATGCATGGCCCATCTGTAAATTTCAGGATTCTTACCCCGTAATGCAGAAACGGTTGAATCTATCGAGTTCCAATTTGTAGGTATTTGTAGGTTGTTTAGAGCGGCAGCGAGGAGCATAATGTAAATTAAAAGTAGCATAAATATGATAATGACAGTCTCCTCGGAAACTATACATATTTGAGTTAATTTCGTTTTGCTATTTACATCAAACATCAAACATTTGGATATGCTGCAAAACGCTGATGGAAGATTCGGTCGTCACCACTACAGAAATTAACTCAGGTCTGAGCACCAAAAATGACAGAAATATTTGCGAAATGATTGTTGACGACGCTTCCAAGACTTTTTCCGCTTCTAATAAACGATGTATAGGAGTCGAATGACCTGGTGGGGGGGGGGGGGGCATCCCCGATATTCCGAAGGTGGCGCCGATCACAGGATGACCAATGATGAATAATCAGGGACCAAACAACAAAGCAATTACAAAGCAATTCCTTGTTGGCTGTATGCCAGGAAATGGGGTTAAGGCTTTACACGTACCTGGCTTTCGTTGAGAGTGCCCTTCTTCATGTCGAGTACGCACTCGTGCACCTTCATCCCGTCCACACGGGAGATGTCTGGGAGGAAGTTGGGAAGCTTCTTCGGTGTCTTCTTGCGCTGCTGAACCTCGAGGTCGTCGCATGCTTTCCTCTTATTCTTGAACTTATTAATCAGTGACTCCTTCACAAGTTTCTGTAACATGCACACCATACCAATATTTTGTTAGTAAATATACCTACAAAAAGTTGCCAGCCATTAACGCTGTTGCGACGATCAATCACAGACAAAAAAAAAAAAAACGCAGGCACAAAGCCGTGACTACAATTATGTACATATATGTATCACTATCAATATCAGCTACAGAAATGACCTATCGGGAATTCAAATACTGAAAAGAATATTCAAATACGTTTCTCGAGTTCAAAGCACATATGCGAAATTCGACTGCAGTGGCCAGGGTCTGCCAGTGTCAGTCACGGTATGACAGCTGCTGTATGTGTTATGACAGGTCTGAAAGCGAGCTTACTCAGTACCTACATGCTTGGCCCGGCACCAAGCCAGACTTGGTGTCATATTCCATAGATGATATTTGAGTTTATTGCTGGGCTTACAGATCTACTGGGTTGATAGTGGTGGGGGGAGGGGGCAGGCCTGGCTTGATATTTTAAGGGGATCTCAACATCTTTTGTCAATTGACTTCGGCTTGTACTCGTTCATTATACAGCAAGCAAATGAACAGAACAAACAACGGAAATAAAAGAATCAGTAGATCATTACATGTCGGTGGCTAATATATTTGCTCAGTTCGCGCACTGGACAATGGAATCGGCGACAGGAGCGTGTAACATTGGAGATTGGTGGGGACGTTGACTATGGTGAACAGTGATAACACTGAGTTGACGATGAGAGAAAGACATTTTATCACATGATTTCCAGAACTCACCAGCCGGTCCGACAGCCGCAGTCCTTTCCCGAACCCAGGGAATTGTTCTGCGACGTCAGCTGCGATAGCGTCTACGTTGTTCAGGTACCTGTTACAGAAAATCATATCAGCGAATGCATTCCGACACAATGAATGGCACAGTGAATTCAGCGTCATGTCTCATAAAACGTACAGTTTAGAATAGAGATGCAAAATGAGAGTAAGTACAGGCACCGCGTTGTGAAAAATTTCAGGCACGGCGTGCCTGAAGCGATGTCTGGCCGCGGAAAGTGTTGGGCTCAAGCTGGTCTAAGCAAGTAAACAACTTCATGAAAGTCGCTTGCGATGAAGCAAATGTATCAGACTTCGTGCCTCTTTCACACTCTTCTGCATCGAAACAATTAGGCACATCCCCTTAACCTTCTACAATGGCTCACCATTAGTGGTCCTATGTTCCCCCCAAATTGAAATGTCTAGCTCATAAGGGATGCACGATTTCCACATGGTAGCATAATGTGCAATGTGCATGCACATTTTTAGGCTCATTGAAATACATTTAGGGGTCGCAGAAAACATGCAACATCCCTGGGATATTAAGTAAAAAGGCATTTACGATGGGTATATCACTGCTTGTAGCCCCACGTACAACTTTCGTAAATAACTTTTCTAGGCTTTTCCAATACAATAGCAGGTTCATGAAATGCCAAGGAGACTAGCTGCCAGGATGCTTCGTTGCTCTTTTGTTTGTTTGTTGGGAAGCAGCGGGACGGTTGCCCCATTCCGGCAGTCCATCCAATGACTGAGGTACGAGTTTACTGTTAAAAACTATGTTGGGCTTCACAGATTATCGTTTTCATACCTGCTGCGACACGTCTTCGTGTACTGTTCATACACAGCAGCCATTATGTCTCTTCGCTCTCCTTTGCTGTGGTCACCGCCGTTTTCCATAGTCTCGCGGACGGATGGTGGAAGCGCTTTCGTGTCCAGGACGAACACCTGCCGGCTAAGAAACAATTACGTCATATACCAATGGCAAGCCACAGCAAATGGTGGGTGAAGGCTGGCGGGTGAATAGGGGGGGGGGGGTATCACTTTATACAGGAAATCTGTCACCATGTTTATTGGATTGGATATTTATAGTGTTGCAACCCAAGAACACGAATTAATATTGCATTACAAACGATACAAATCAAAAGAGTAATGCACCTGTCTTCTTGTTTTCAAATTGTACTCTTAGTCTCTTAGAGCATGAGTATGAACAATATTGAAAGAAGTCGGCTTCCCAATTGTTGTTTCCATGTTACAGCACATACCAGATGATTAGCACATATATACCTCGCACTGGTCCCGGCGTCCTTGCTGGACTCGTTGTCACTGGTCCCGCCGTCGGTGAGAGCAAGCGGGTCCTGTGCCGTTTCGCCGACGGCAGAACTCACAGAGGAAGAGCATGGCACCAAAAGGTCACTGAAAGAAACGAATAGCAATGTTGAATCTTCAATTCATGGCTATGGAAGTATACCGACTTTGTAGCAGTGGCACACCGGGGACGGTATGGTGTTTGTAATGTAATGATACCATTAATTAAATAATATAGTCATTAATTAAACAATATAACAGACAACGAAAAAACTCTCAGAAGAGAATTTCAGCCTGTCGCCAAAATGTGTGTGATAATTAGAGATACACAAAGTCCCCATACCAAAGCCCCGCACCGGCTCCGCCCCCGCTCAGACCTTGGTGTGACCCGACCACGACCCGTAACGGTGACAGTCAGGCCTGTGCACCACCAAGGCCCTGCCACCCGGCGTCTAACAGTGTGACCACATGGGCAGGGAGCCCGACACAGCCCGGCAAACACTTCATGCGAGACCCACTCTGCCCCGCCGGGCCTAAGTCCATGCCCCGCGCCAGGCCTGCGGGCTTCAACTTTGCAACTCTAGTGATAATTAACATTTCCGGATGGTAATGAAAGACAAAGGTAAATCAAAAAGGAAAATGAATATGTTAGTAGGGTCGTACAAAGGACTTACTCGATCACTGCTGAATCCTTGGAACAGGAGGGAGTTCCCAAGGCGCCAGGAGAAGCTGTCATCGTCAGGACGGGGATGGTGTCGGCCGTGCTGAGACATCTTTGGATGAATGACACTGGTGGGCTGGAGACTTGGACGGGGACAAGGCGAATCCGTCCGCCACATGGTAGGTCGTCTACTGGGTTATCGATGCGAACATACAATTCGGACTCCTTGTGGTAAAGCTCTAAGCAATAACTGCCAGACAGAGAAAACGCCTCTTTTGCGGCCGCCAAAACATCACCCTTATTCTTCACAGTCACAAGTCGGTTGATGTCGTGTTGCTGCACCACGTAGGTCAGCATGGCGATCGTGGTCCTGTAAATATTCGAATTACACATTTAGCCACAAAGTCTGTCGCGGCCAGGGTTGGGCTGGAAGCCGTGCCGAAGCCAGGACGGTAATAGGAAGCCAAAACCGAAGCCGAAACCAATGGCTTCCAAAATTATAATTTGGAAGCAAAAACCGAGGCCAGTGACATTCAGACCTGAAACGTGGGAAGCCGAAACCACAGGCTAGACTTTGAAGCCGTCTAGCTTCGGCACAGAAGGAGCACGTTACACACGCTCGTTTACAACACGCTCGTTCTCTAACTCATATTTTGGCAAAAACAGCGGATTTGAGCTATGACTTTGACTTTGCATCCCTGATTTACCGCATTTTGCGGTCGTATCCCGCGCAAGTGCACGTTGCAAAATGCAAGCATAATCACTGAAAGTGGATGCTCCCAATGTAAAGATATAAATGTTCATCACACTTACCTATCGTTCTACAGCATCCCGTAGCCGGGTATCAGCCTCCGAGGAACGGCATAGTGGTGGTCATTGATCCAGTACGTGCCGAGGGGCTGGGGATCAACGAGACTCGCACAGTCGAATACATCATATTGATCTGTTCCAGAAATGATAAAAGCTCCCAAGGATGTGTCATAAATGGCCACCTGGTGCTGCACCAGGAATTGTTTGTCCGACTCAACGCTGCTTGGATGTTTGCAAATGCAGATAATCACAGCGACACCAGTGTGCAGCAGCAGAGCTTCACCCGCGCAGTACTTCTCGCCGTTTATTAGCGCCTTTTTGAAAAGCTGTGCCCCTCTCGTCAATGCAGCAGCCGCTTCCGGAACCTCTCCCCTGAAAGGTTGCCCGCCGCTCATACGACCGCGTAGTTCCATTGCATCTGCGACACTCTTCAGCTGATAACGAGTTGCGATGCTCTTGCATATATTTTTACGATTGCGCGAGTTTGCCACAGACCGCTTCAAGGTTTGATGTTTGGCTTCGTATCTCATGCTCCATAGATACCTCAATGGGCCATGTCTCCTCGTTTGATCGGCATAGTGTAAGAGGAAATGATGCTTCGGCGTCAGTTTGAACTCCGGAAAGCATGCGAGAAGGTCTGTCAAAAACTTTTCCACCATCCCTTGCAGGATATCCAAGTCTTGCAGTGACACCGTGAAGACAGTGAGTAGGAGCATGATTTTGATTAACTGCACGAGCAGGGAGTACATCTTGCTCCCAGACACAGCCGATGAGAGAACACCTGCACTCAGGAGAATCAATGGCAAAAGCCTCAGAAGACACCAAGCCTCACTCGCCTGCTGCTTCACAGTTATACCCTTTCCATCACGGCGTAACGGGGCGGGATGATTTGTGTCCACCTGACTGTATGGGAATGACCTGATAGCTCTGTTCACATCGTTCAGAGACAAATCACCGCGAGAGCTCAAACCACCGCACACCAGAGCAATGGTGGACGGCACAACGCCCTCTAGAAGATCATGCATCACATCAGGGGGTATCGACGTCATCGGGTGAAAGCCCGTCAATGAGCTGAACGGACACGTGCTTCGGATGCCGTACGCTTTCGAGAGTGATTCACCGAAACCTTCTTCAAGCAAAAGCTTCACTTTGGAGTCATAATCTTCTTTGGAACGGAGGTCAAACTCTTCCAGCTTCGTCTTTGTTCGTATCTCATCTGCCGTTCCATGACAGTGTCGGCAAATCATTGCACCCCCACTGAAGCACTGTGAAAAGCCCGCCACACTGTGTACGCCCAGATTGTCACCGATCAACACTGCAACGTGTGCAGTAAAATGCGAGCCACCACGAATGTTTGCCACAAAACCGCTTGATTCAAGCTCTTTAAGTTCGGTGATGAGTGGGTCGAGCAGTGTTGCCCATGAATGTGTTGCCAGCAGTGCCTCTCGAAAGACTACCGAAAGGATGATTTTGTTGCGAAGTGCGCTGTTCTTAAGACTGTTCACTGAAAAATAAACAACGCCCACTTTCTGGTTCTTTGCTCTGCTGCCCAAGGGGTTGCCTACTTGAAAACTGTCATAGTAGACTGAAAGAAGCAAACGACCTTCGCTGTTATTATTGTTATGGACGTATCCATCCTGAAGGCCACCAAGTATCCCATCTGGTGATGCAGTTGCATCTTCGCAAGCATTCACTTGCTCGCAGAGTTGTTTAAGCTGAGGTGTAACTGGCAAGTATTGGAGCGTTTCATCTTTCCCATGTTCGTCTGTGCCCAATGTCACAGATACAGGATCAACCGTTTCAAACTCCTTGACAGCTGTGCGTTCTAGGTGGTCGCTACCCTGTAACTTGCTCAGCTCATTCAGAGTCTTGAGTTTATGATAATATTCTTCAAGATGGCAGCATGGTGCCTCCCCACATAAGCTCAGACACTCTTGGATGACTTCTTTCGAAAAGTCCTCAATGAACTCCAGCACAGCATGGCAGCTATTTTCGGTCACATTTTGGGCGCGGAGTTTGATTATGAGTCCTAACAGTTGTTTTCTCACATCGTGAGCACCAGGGTCGTCTTCAACCTTGTCACCAGAGTCAGAATCAATCTCGACACCAGTTTCTTGTTGATTTTGAGACGAAGATGTCTCTGGAGCATTTGAAGCACAACCAGCAGCTTCAACCGGAGAACACTTTCTAGACAAAACATGATCTTTCCAATACCGAACAGTGGTGAACTTCTTGCGACACATCGGGCAATCCACGTGAAAATAAGGGTCTGATCCATGTCGTCGCAAATGCAGGCAAAACTCTCTCAAGTCTGTGTCAGTGTGGTGACACAAAGAACATGATAGCTTCACATTCATCTGAAACCAATAAGTGCAAAAACATTCTGAGCCAATTGTAAATTCGCCTAACCAAGCATACAGAATTAGCAACACCAAGGAAAGGATCATTAAACGAAGGAAATGAATTTCGTTCGTTATGATCCTTTCGATCATAAGGGCACAACCCCAAATAATATTCAATAAAATATGAACTACGGGGTCTTCTGCCTACAGTCATGTGGGCAAACGCACCAGTGATGTCATTTATAGAATTTAGTGAAAATGGTACCAGTCACCACTCAAACCCAGGGCGGTGACCCCACGGCGAAACAGCTTCAGCGCCAGTACCATGAACAGCTGGAACGCTTTACCTGCCGAAGTTGTGTCCGCTGACTCGCTCGACATTCTAGGCGCGACTTGACCGCCATTGGAGGAACCTGATATTTAACATACCACAGACCTAGAGCCCTGATTGTTCATTGTCCTTGAGCATTCTGTCATTGTCAACATTTGGACAGTCCTTGAACTGTCCAAATATTCCTCAAATTTTGATGTATTACAAAGTGAATAGTTGTTGCTACAAACAACCAAAAATCTAGTGATATAAATTATTCCCCGCTTCATTTATAGCTTGGTTTGTGAAAAATTTATGTTTGAAGTTGTGAGCAGACTTGTGCCAAGATCCCAAAAAGATCCGAGATCCAGGATCCGCTGGATCCAAGATTTGGGATCTTGGTGGTTCCTGGATCCAGAATTTCAGATTTTGTCGAGGGATCCTGGGGATCTTGGATCCAGCATTTCAGATTTTGTTGAGGGATCCTGGGGATCTTGGATCCAGCACTTCAGATTTGTCAAGGGATCCTGGAGATTCTAGATCCTGCAGTCTGCACTTCAGATTTTGTCGAGGGATCCTGAATCCTGAATTTTCAATTTGTCGAGGGATCCTGGGGATCTTGGATCCTGCATTTTCAATTTGGCGAGGGATCCTGGGGATCTTGGATCCTGCATTTTCAATTTATCGAGGGATCTTGTGGATCTTGGGTCCTGAATCAACCTTAATTTGTTTGGAGGGTTTGCATTATGACTCACACACAGAAATATTGAGCGATGTCAAGTTCAATATACTCGTAAATAGTTCAATTAGCTTCAAAGTTCTGCTTCACTGAGTAAAATATCTTTAGTTTAAGTATTTTCGTGATAAATAAGCAAGGTATCCGTCGCACAACGCCATAATAAGTAAAGGCATCAAGAATAAGTTTGTTTTTATACGACGTTTATTGGTTAACTAACAAACATCGGCAGTTTTATTACACCACACA